AACATTTTAAGCAAGAATATGTTTTATTTTTTAGAGCAGTTAAGAGGAGCTGATCACTTTTTTAGTAAGTTCAATTTATTTTCTTATACATAATGATTTTTTTTTTATAGAAAGAATAATGAGAATACATAAATAAAATAAAATTTTATTTATGTATTCAATTTGAAAAGTTAAATAAAATAAGACTGTTATTTGTGGTCATGTAAGTTTATAAACATAAGTTTGCATTTATTTCTGTCTATTTTATATTTCTCTATATCTATATGTATATTTTCTCTAAGGAAAAATAATAAGGAATAGAAAAATTAAGAAAATTTCTTCTGGAATTCATCAAAAGAGTATTGTATTATGCTTCATTTTAAGGTATCTAAATATCTATTTATTAGAAATTTTTAATTTTGTTCTTAAATGGTTTCTTCTTTTTCATTACTTTAGATAAACTTTAGATAAATATATACTGACTGACATAACTTTATTTTTATTAACAATGTTGTGCATTGCATTCTTTGTTACATTAAAAATAATTGATGCTAATAAATGTTATTTTATAGTTAAAAGTTTGCATTAATGTTTGCATGTATATTTGATAAATAAGTATATGTGGTGATATATGTTATATAGTTGTTTTATAAATGTGTTTATATAAATGTGTTTTTATAATAGTATGAAATGTATTATATCTAATTTGTGCATGATTGTTAAATGAGGTGTTTTTACATGTTAAGTAACATAAAAAATATATTGTGTTTTATAATTAGTATATATGTTTATTTAATGTTGTTTCCATGATTTTAAAGTGGCATGACCTAGCAAACGTGTAGAGCAAGATTTTTGTCAACCTTACCAGTCAAGTGATGTTACTGCTTCAGGTCTAAGTGTTGCCTAGCCTTTAATATAACTATTCTGAAAACACATAATTTTTTGCGTAATGTTGTTAATGTTGTAATCTTTACGTTGGTGTCAGCTGTTAAAAATGATTAATAGGTAGTTTCATTACTAGAACTCACTACTTTTACTTATTTACTAAAAGTCATTCAAGACATCATTTCGCTATAAATACATTTTGTTTATCATGAAATAATATTTAGCAACTACTACTCAGGTATCACAACAACTTATCTCTATCAGATACATTGATTTTCAATTCACATATGATGTTTTTCTTTGTATTTACTTATTAATTACATTTTTAACTTCAGATTTATGGTGTATTTATTTGCTATAGAAGAACAAATCATTTTAAATTTTTATGAATTTTTTAAAAATATCTACTCCAGTCAATATTTAAAGTTCAATGTTGCATATACCATTTTTAAGTAGCTTCTAGGCTTTTTTTATGCTTTTCTTATTGAAGTGGTTTTATAAGCAAGATCTGCAAGCAAATTTGAGCTGAAAAGTTTTTCAGCTTTCAAGGAGAATCAATGTTGTTCTCTGTTTAATTTAATTTGTTTAAATAGAGTAGTTTTAATAAATAAATGTTTGTTTATTCTTGGTTTTTTACTTATTTGTTTACAGTTTCTTAAGAACTAGGCAACTTAGCAAAGCAAGATTTGTTTTATTTTTTAGTGCAATTGGAAAGAGCTGAAGTGCTTTTTAGTCACTTCAAATCAATTTTTTGTGTTTTTAAATAGAAGGGTTAATAACAAAAAAATTTTGACAGTTGAATTGTATTTTATATTAGATTTATTTTTATTATATATATATATATATATATATATATATATATATATATATATATATATATATATATATATATATATATATATATATATATATATATATATATATATATATATATATATATATATATATATATATATATATATATATATATATATATACATATATATATATATATATATATATATATATATACATATATATATATATATATATATATATATATATATATATATATATATATATATATATATATATATATATATATATATATATATATATAATGTATTTAACATGGAAAACTGACTGTAATTTTTGAGAGTAAGTTTATATACATAAATGTGCCTATATATTAGTATATTTAATATTTCTCTGTATCTATATAAATATTATCTCAAAGAAAAAATTAAAAAGAATAAAAAAAATTTGAATATATATACATACACACATATTACTTTAGGCTGACATTGATTCATTTTTTATACAAGATTCTGCATTTATTATTTTTGTACATTAAGATTGTGCCTGAAGGTAAAAATAACTTTGCATTGTAGTCTAAATTCTTTGCTAAATTAAAATTATGTAAATAAATTTTCTTTTACATTTTTCAGTTGTAAAAATATAAAATGTTCATTTATTCAGTTGTAACAGTAGTATAATCCTTGGTAATGTTTAATGATAACAGAAAACTTACTTGCCAGAATTCAGTGTCAAACGGTGTTGATGTCTATTATTTGATTTTACATTAGACACTTTAAAATAAAGCAAAGTATGAATTTTATTATTTATAGTAACAAATAATAACCATTTCAATTTTAAATGATTTTAATTGTTCTATTTTTTTTATTTGAAATCTTAAACAATTTTTTTTTTTAGTTGTCTTTGTCATCACTTGATTATTTTGCTTACTGTTGAAACATGGTTTTAATTTTGTAAATTTAATATGATGTGAAATTTACTATATTAATCATTTGTCAACAGTTAGAGAGAAGCTGGAACTTAATAAAGAAATGCTGGAAATTAACTTTTAATTAAGGTAAAAATAATTTTGTTTATTGGTAGCATAATAAAACCAGTTACTGTTATTTATTGCATGACTTTTTTACTTTTTCTAACGTGTTTTTTTTAAAACACTTCCTCTCTCTCTTAGATGAGACTTAAATAAGAATTAGTATAGAGAGAGAATAGATTAAACTCATGTAATTACTGAGCTCTTGCGTATTTTTTAATACTGCGATTGATAATTTGCTATTTAAAGATATAATTCTTAAAATTGTCCCTTGGTTGTTATTGGTTATTGTAATAAATAAAATCTTTTTAGTTTCAAGTATTTTTTGAAACACTTCCTCTCTCTCTTAGATGAGACTTAAATAAGAATTAGTACAGGGAGAATTGATTAAACTCATATGAGTTTAATCAAGTCATTATCAATCGCAGTATTAAAAAATACGCAAGAGATCAGTAATTACATGACCATGTAATTACTGAGCTCTTGCATATTTTTTAATACTGCAATTGATAATGACCATTTATAAGATATATTTATGAGTTGCTTGCTATTTAAAGATATAATTCTTTAAATTGTCCCTTGGTTGTTCAAATATTGTAATAAATAAAATCTTTTTAGTTTCAAGTATTTTTTTTTTAGGGATCGTCTTTATATTACGTAACGTGAAATTAAACATATAGACAAAAGAAATATCTCAAAAACCGTGTTTCTCTCATGGTCAACTATATGCTGCATTTTCAAGAACTATAGCATTTAATAGTTTGTTTTTCAAAATTGATAAACATCTTATTCAAGGTATAGTAGGTAAAAAATGTGACATAAATATTGTTATATTTTCTAATGTTCTTAATTTATATTCTTTAGATTTTCATTTTGAAAATTTAATGTTAAAGGCTGTGAGCACATTTTGTATGTATAACTTTATTTATTATTATTATTTTTTTTTTTCATAGTTTTTGATAAATATATCTGTCATTCAATAGTTATAATATGTGTTTATATGTTACATAAAGTCATATTTGTTTATAGTTGTATATATGTTTAAATTATGTTGTTTCCATGTTTTCAAAGTGGTGTATCTTGGTATTATGTTAAGCAAGTTTGATAACCTTGCCAGCCAAGCGGTGTACTTATAGTAGAGGTGTGATTTGGCAGTATTTAGTGTCAGGCGGTGTTACTGCTTTAGAGCTAGGTTGTGTTGTCTAGCTTATTTTAACTATTCTGGAAACACATAATAATGTCTCTTAATATTTAGCGTAATGTGGATGAGAGAGTATGCAACCTTAATCTTTAAATCTAGGGTGCTTTAATGTTCTAAATTTGAAATAATTGAATAAATAATATTGAATATAAAAACAAACATACTTTATTAAAGTTTAGTAAAAAGATCAATATAGTTAACTTTAAATTGGTTTTTTAATTTTGCCTTTCATACTTTAATTTAGTTTATTATTTTCATTGGATCTTATTGTTATGAGTTATTGTTGTAATGTTATTGTTGTGATTTTTTGTGTTGATGAACAGCTTACTTTCATGTGGTGTCTATTGTTAAAAATAAATAATAGATAGTTTCATTATTGGAACTTACTGCTTTTATTCATTTACTAAAAGCCAAGACAACAATTTATATCTTAGTTTGATTTTTTTTTTTAGTATTGTTAATGCTTTTGTACTTCAAAACAGATTTTATAGTTACATTACAAGCATGATGAAGTGTTATTATTTTGTGTCAGTAGCTAAAAAGGTATTGTGTTGAATTTAGGAAAATCGATGAAAATGGTTCTGCCTTACACTGTTATGACCTATGTCAGTTGTAAACTACTCAAATAATGTTAAGTCGTAATTGTAAATGTTAAGTAGTAGTTGGTAAATTATTTTACCTCCTCATACTTTTTATGTTAATTTTACAGATGGATTAATTTTTTCAAGCTGAAGGCGTTTTTCTAAAAGGGTATTAGTTAAGGTTTTGCAACATTAAATTGTGGAAAACAGCCACTATAAATTAATTATGTAACAGACCTACCAAAACCCATATTACGGGTTATTTTTTCCTAGTAGAGATTTAATCTGCAAGAAATGTTACAATACCTAGGTATAGGAACACATTAGCTTAATACCTAGGTATAGGAACACATTAGCTTTTTATGAACAACCCTTAACATAAATAGTTGTGATGGATTAACAGCATCACTAGCTGAGCCACAAATTTGTATAAACTGTTTAGTCTACAACAAAAACCCACTGGTAACTAATATAAAGTATTTTGGTTATATTGGAATATAGATCTCATGAATATGTTAAAATAACTCACACTTAATTTCTTCATCATTTACATCATCAAAGGTTTCATCCATTTGAATGCTACTTGCATAAGAATAAAGATGTTGGGCTTCTGCAGTATCTAAAATAAACATGCAAAAATGTCAATTAAACCATCTCTTGCCAACACAAACACACATTTAAACAAAGAAGTAGAAGAGTGAAAAAAATGTATTCTTTAATATATGTCCTAAGTTTTTAGAATCTACTTGGCGAAACCCAAACCCTCAGTCAATAAAACTATTAGTCTTTGCATATGGCTAATTTGTATGATGTTATTAGAGTAACGCTTCATACCTAGCTAAATTCACATTAGCATATATTTTAAAATATACATCTTTTTTTTTTAAACTAATTCACCTCCCCAAGATCGAGTAGGTCACTACAGACGAGGAGGCTATATAATTGTGGTTATTACAAGGGATGCGCCGAACCTGTTTTTGGTCAAACACCGAATCCGAACATTTAACCTTTATATTTTGCTAAACACTAAACGGTTTGGCTAACGAACTATTGCTAATTTTATATATAAACATTAGTTATTGAACTCTATAAATTATTATGGGTTTTTTAAAAAAAACGTTTACAAATTTTGTTTAAAAATTAGAAACAAACTTTGAAATGTAACTTACACTTACAGGGTAAGTTACACAATGTTACATATTTGTTATGTTTTAAGATAAATGCCATATTTTCTTTTGGTTAAATTTTACTTTTTATAATTCAGTACTTTTTTTTTATAACTTATAGGAGTATAAAACAATGTCTTCAAAAAAAAAGTCTTTCAAAAGTAACGTTTGGAAATATTTTGAACTTTCTAAGATATTCATTTTTGCGTATCCCTACTATGCAAAGCATTACTTTCTAGAGGTGGAAATTGTCCTAAAACATTTATTTATTTATCTGCAATTAGACACCATTTAAAAATAAAACACCTTGAAGAATATATATTAGCAAAAAAAGAGTCTGATAAAAAAATTGTTTTAACATATACCCCTTCTACATCGAGTAATAAATAAGTTTAAAAACAATTTACATTACAAGATAGTATTAATAAAAAAAAGTTATGGGATATTAATGATCATAGGGCAATCAAAATCCACTATCGCATTGGGGAAATTATGGCTTTAAACATTCAACCATATACAATTGTAGAAGATCTTGGTTTTAGAAATTTATTAAAGAAATGTTTCCAAATTATCAAATACCCAGTAGGAGTTATTTTAGTGAAAATGTTGTTCCTCAAATATATAATGAGCTATTTAACTCTAAAAAGAGTAATTTATCTGCTGCAAGTTATATCTCCCTTACAACTGACATTTGGACAGCAAATAGTTTAAATGTTACCTTCATAAGTATGACAGGACACTGGCTCAATAATGAATTTTCCCAACAAAGAGCAGTACTCAGAGTTATGCATTTTCCAGAAAATCACACAGGAAAAAACATAAGTGAATATTTACATAAAAGTTTACTAAGTTTTGAAATTCCACACACAAAAATTCACATTGTTTTACACGATAATGCTGCCAATATGGTAGCTGGTGTTAGAGACAATGGTTTTAAGTCAATGCCATGTTTTATACATACAATACAGTTATGTATATATGACTCAGTTTTGTCACAAAAATCTGTGAAAGATATATTAGCTTGTTGAAGACGTCTGGCAACTCATTTTCACTATTCACCAACAGCAGCAGCAAAATCAGAAGCAATTCAGGAACGACTTGGTACAAATAAGCAAATAAGCATAGGTTAGTTCAAGATGTTATTACAAGATGGAATAGTTCCTATGACACGATTGAAAGAATGCATGATCAGAGTTCCCTTGACAACCTATACAGCTGATCATGTTACTCAATCAACGTTAAATTCATTCCAATGGGATTTATTAGATAAAATTTTTCATATTTTAGAGTTATTCAAAACTTTAACTGTTAATTTCAGCAAAAAAGAAGCATGAAGTTATTCCTTCGATTATGGCTTTGAAAATTTTTTTTAATCAAACATTAGTGTGTAAGGCTTTTTTAAGTATAATTACTTAAATAATTAAATTCAGTAGAGTCAGTAGACAAAAGACTGGGTACATTTTTGCATAACAAGTATTTATGTCTTTTCACTTTTTGTGACCCTAGATATAAATTAACATATCATAAGAAAGATGAGAATAAAATAACAAATTGGATAAATGAGGAGATACAGGAAATGCAACAACATAGTTTAGAACTTGAATCATCTGATTCTGATTGTGATGAACCCACAGAAAGTGGGTTCATCACAATCAGAAACACAAATGAAGTAATTGTAAAATCAGTTTATCCAAAATTAAAAGAATGTTTCCTTCTAATTCCCAAAATGAAAACTAAAGATAATATCAATTTTGTAAATACTGAAAATAGCAAAGGATTGAAATGATTAAACTCTAATATACACATGATAAACAAGAAAATTGAAGAGTACCTAAAAATCCTTCTTGTAATGGAAAAAAAAAGTCCACTTTTATGGTGAAAAACTTTTTACAAAATTTAAAATAAAATAGCCCAAAGGTTTTTTTCAGTGTTAGGGTTAGGGTTGGGGTTAATGTATATTTCTTCTGTAGAAAGTGAAAGGATTTTTAGAACAGCAACTTTTATGAACCTAATAGAAATAGACTATCACCAGAAAGTGGTAAAAAATTAATGTTTATACATTAAAACTTAAGAGCAACAAGTGATAATTGAGTTTCACTTATCTTTTAGATATTTTATTTTTTTACCAAACAGTTATTTGATTATGTGACTAAAATTTATGATTTATTTAATGTTGTTTCTATTACATAGTATGATTGTATAATAAAAACTCCATAAGAAATAGAAGCATTATTCTGAAACTCTACAATAAGTTATTATAGAGTTCTGTTTGAAGATATTATATATCATAATATATATTATATATCATAAACATTTATGGAAAAACTGTAAAGGTATTTGTTTAACCACATCAACAATCTCTTTAAACAGAGTTCAAAATAAAGATCTTTTTTATTTAAATTTATTTGACATTTTAAAAAAGGTTATATATTTAAAATTTAACTTGGCTGTAAATATTCTTTTTTATTTACTCTTTATTTAATTTTATCTATCGGCCTTTTGCTTATTTACATGTACATGATTTAAATTTATTATTTGACATTTGAAAAAAGGTTATATATTTAAAATTTAACTTGGCTGTATATATTCTTTTTTATTTACTCTTTATTTAATTTTATCTATCGGCCTTTTGCTTATTTACATGTACATGATTTAAATTTATTATTTGACATTTGAAAAAAGGTTATATATTTAAAATTTAACTTGGCTATATATATATATATTTTTTTATTTACTCTTTATTTAATTTTATCTATCAGCCTTTTGCTTATTTACATGTACATGATTTAAATTTATTATTTGACATTTGAAAAAAGGTTATATATTTAAAATTTAACTTGGCTGTATATATTCTTTTTTATTTACTCTTTATTTAATTTTATCTATCGGCCTTTTGCTTATTTACATGTACATGATGTTTGAATTAAATACATTATTGAGTTTAATACAAAATAAAAAAAGATAAATTTTATAAATTTAACTTATTTCACCGTGGCTACCAGATACGGTGTCTAATCTAATCTAAAAAAACATGATATTTTCCAAATATTTTATTTTTTGCATGTTCAGCCGAACCAAACATTTGGTAATACAGCCGAATGTTTGGCGCATCCCTAGTTATTACCCTCTCTTAACACTATAACTCTAAAACACAAATCTTGACAAACAAGGCTGCTGTGTGGAAAAAAAAAATTAAGCGCAATACAACCAGGGACATAGTGGGAATCGAACTCAGAACCTCTCGCTTATGAAGTGAGCGGTCTACCACTAAATCACAACTTCATTATCCCATTTATGACTTAATTTCAAAATTTAGTGATAGCTTAAATAACTTTGAATTTGATAAAATAATTCATACTGTGAAGTTTTTATTTGTGTTAGTTTTATAAAATAACTCATACTGCGAAGTTTTACTTGTGTTAACAATTGTTTATCTGAATAAAAATTTTAAGCAGCGAATCCCTAAGGGCTTGGGTAAAACTAATAAACGATAATGACTTTGAAGGGACATAAATCTCTTGGTTCATTAGATAAAAACTTAATTAAAAAAAAAAAAAATAGCATTTTAAAAGGCCAGTTAATTTGCATAATTATTATATTTAATCAAACAATTGTGTCTTACATAATCTAATTTTAACTCAGAAAGGCGCTGTACAAGAGATTTAACAATTTTAAAAATACTTTATTCTGTTGTCTAATATCTTGAGATTTTCCATTTGCTAATTATTCTCATACACTTTTTACAAAAATCCTTTGAGATTCTCATCTTTGAAAACACTAAAAAAATCCTTTGAGATTCTCATCTTTGAAAACACTAAAAAAATCCTTTAAGATTCTCATCTTTGAAAACACTAAAAAAATCCTTTGAGATTCTCATCTTTGAAAACACTAAAAAAATCCTTTAAGATTTTCATCTTTGAAAACACTAAAAAAAATCCTTTAAGATTCTGATCTTTAAAAATACTAAAAAAAATCCTTTGAGATTCTCATCTTGAAGAACACTATACATTCAGTGCACATTTGCAGGGTTATCTTCTCTTTTGAAAAAATTGATATTTTTCTCCTTTAGGTAGTTTTCTGCGTAATGAGACAATGCCAAATTGGATCAAAATATGTATTTGCCATCAGAATGATGCTTTTGGATGAATGAAATTACTTTGTTCTTGAGACATTTTTGTAGACTTCTTGGTTGATTGCATAGCCACTTTCTCTGAATACTGGTGAAGATAAGCATATTTCTTACCTAGCAATTTGTATTTTAAAAAGAGAAATACAGTTCTTGTTTTGAGAAACAAAAATTCAACACGCGAAAATAATTCTAAAAATTATAATGACAAATGGAACATTAAAAATCTTAAAACATTGTTTGACCACAAAGACACCGTATCACAAATATAAGCAGCTCCAAAATTCAAGTGCAGTCAAGTATATAAGGAAAGCAATCAAGAAATAAAACTAATTTTTTTCACTTATTAATAAAAACCATTTTTTTAATAACAAACAAAATTACAATACATGTTTTAACTATTTTATAGTCATCTTTAGTTGAGTTAAAAAAACTTATTTAATTTAAAAAAAATTTATTTAATTTAAATTATAATTTATTTTTTTATTGATTGTGACAAAATAGGCAATAGCAAAAACAAATATACAATAAAGAAGTTATTAAATTGTTTAACAAAAGGTTAATAACTAATAAAAACTCACACATATACAAACATCTCCATGCTAACAATAATAGTTTTAATAATTATAATAATGACTGTTTCTCAATATTGGATTCTGCCTCCAATAAACTTGAGCCAAAATTAAGGAAAGTTTGATCATAGAATGAAAAAATCCAGATATGAACAAACAGTTACACCATTATGAAATATCACTTTTCACATAAAAGTTACCATTTTATTAGTCATTAATCTTTGTTAAACAATTTAATAACTTCTTTATTGTATATATATATATTTTTTTTTGCTATTGCCTATTTTGTCACAATTAATAAA